ATAAATAAATATAATTTATTACAAATATTTTTAAATATGACAATTAAGTATATTCTGCACTCCCAGTAATAATTAAAAATAATATTAACGCATAAGGGGATTTTATGTACTATAAATAACAATTATTTCATCATTTAAAATATTAAAAAATTGAATGATATTTAATATATAATAATAAAATATTAAATTTCTTTCATCTTATTTATCAATTTTTTATGTATTATCAATTTTCATACATTACTTTAAATAAAATTCAAGAACAATTCAATATTTTATAATTTTAATATTATAAATTTTGTAGTCTTTACAAAAATATGTACACAAATTTAGGTTTCCTAAACAGTAAATCCTATAAAATTTTTGTAAAATATTCATTTGGAAACATGGTAACCTCAATTAGAAAGGTTTAGACTAATTTATAAAATATCCAAAAAATATTATACCATCCACCAAAATGACTTGGCCGACACTATCTGAAGAGTAATACTCATTTTTTGTACCTTAAATATAAAATATCTAAGAAATATTACTTTTATAAAAAAAGGGTTTTTCATTATACTATCTAAGTTAGATCTCCATAATAACTAATTGATCATAATCAATAATTCATTTATAAATTTCCAATATCGATTAAGGTCATGAAGTATTAAAGAAATATTGTATAACTAATATTCGTAACATTTTCTATTAGATAAATTTTAAGATAAAGATTTTTTTTTTATATATATATTATGTTTAATAAATAAATTAGATATTTCTTAATTAAAAATAAAATCAAAGCATCATGGATTTATCTGAATTATAGAGATTAAGTTAATTAAAAGTGTAAAATCAAATTAATTTAATATTTGTTTTGATCTTAAACCTAATTCATATTTTGTTTATTTGTTATTAGAGATCTAAAATTCTATTTATTAATATTTCTTTTCTCATTTTTATTTATTCCCTTTCCTGAGAAAATAGAATTTTCTAAGGTAATCAATAGGGATATTCAAAAGATATATTTAACTGATTCTTCTCTTTTGCACTTTTGCTATTACTTTCACAAACAATAGAAATGAATTAAATTTAGTGAATTTAGAAAACAATACAATTCATAAAAAGAATTTGTCAAAGTAATAACCATTATTTAAAGAATTTAATAATAAAAAAAAAATTAGAAAAACTCTAAAAACTATTAATAAATTCATTATTATGAATTCTTCTAAGCAATATGATTCCATAGAATTTATTTACTAAGGAAATATACATTTAATTTTAGAATTATTTTTTTTTTCTAATGCTTATTATTGTAGATTAAGTATTAAAATGGAAGAATAGATGAAAACTGGATGAACCTATTTTTCTATAATTTAAAAAACTGATAATATAGTTTGAAAATATTGCAATGATATTTGGAAATGATTCAATAAGAATGATAAAGAATTAATTGAACTAAAGTCGAGAAGCTTTAGGAATTTTTTTTCAAAAAAATCTGGTATAAATATAATGATGGAGGAAGATTAAATAAATGAATTAAATATACCAAAAATAAATTTTGGCTAAAAATTGTTTATTTTGTACTATAGCCTAGATAATTACCAATAATATAGTTTAAGACATTTAAATGAAGAGAGAGTATGGTTTAATAATTTAATATTAAAAAATATAATGGAAATTACTATTTAGATATGAAATGAAACCGTTTTCAGTAATAAGAATTATTTCAAATTTAATTGCTAGAATTTCTAAAACTTTGAATTTTAACAATCTTTCATTTTTATAAAAGGCTAAATAGCTAAAGCTATATTAATTAAAGTCTTAATATTAAATAAGTAATAAATTAAGAGATTTGAATCTAAATATTGTAATCCTAAAATCATACCGATTAAAAGATTATCATTTAAATTTAAGTCCTTCTTTTAATCATGGATTATTTATTGGATAAATTTCGTGTTAATTATAATGAGTTAGTCCATTTATATTTACTTTAAGTTGTCTCTACTATCGTTTCGTTTTTCACCTTCTCATTTTCATACTGAATTAAATTTTTTTTTTGTTACAATACTGTCTTCAGTGGTTCCAATATTTTTTTATTACTGCCTTAATCCAAATTTTTTCATGTTTATCTTTTTAAAGTAGGATATCAGGATTATTATTTAGATCTATTGTAAAGAACATTTAAAGGTTATCCTTTTTTATTAAATTTCATAAATCAAATAAAATTCTTAATTTTGATTCAGTCTATTATTTTCAAAGAGGATGGAATCACATCTCACTCTTCGATTAGTTTCAAAAGGTTTTTGAGTGACTAATGGTATTTGGCTGATCTTTAAATAAGAATCCCTTCAGTTTCTTTTATTACACCATTTTAAGAAAATACATTAAAAAATTTTTATTATATGGAAATTATTCAAACTTTAATGTCAAATTCATCAACCCTTTTAATCCTCAGTGTCCAGAGAAATTATAGATATTGTTCTAAAGCCTTTTTAGATCTTTTAAGCAGCTCTATATGGACATTTAATCACTTAATAAAATAATCTTAATTGTGCAAAGTCCTAAAATTCTTGGAATATTATTTAATAATTTTAAACCTAATTGACTAAACCAGTGAATAAATAGAGTCAGATCAAAAATGCTGAAAGAAAAGTCAAAAGAACAAACAAAAAGTAAATAAGAAAATATCTAAATTAAGGATTAGATATAAACAAGTCAACGAAGTAAACCTTGAGGTAAGTGTAGCAAAAAAACAAAATCTAAAGAGTAAGTCTTCTTTTTTATCCCACCTAAACAATGATCACCGATTTTCAAGGTCAGAGTAGGGGTAATAGCATTTATACTAAATCTTCTATTTACAATGAAGTTTAAGTTTCTTTTGTAAGAAATAGTATAAGTTTGAAAAAAAACTTTAATTAGCTCATTCAAATTTAAACCACTAGATCCCTAATTAACGAAGAACTCCTCCCTATCTAGATTCTATATTAAGTCTATCTAACCTAAACGTTCAAGTAGGATTGAGGTAGAACTCCCTAAACAAACTCACTTTCATTAACTCTCCAACCATCCTGATGTTAGAGTTCTTGAGAATGCAGCAATTATAAATATGCTCAATTAATTATATCAGCAACATGAATTTTAGTGAATAGGGAAAAAGCTTTACTCCTTAGATGATCTACTCCTACTTAATTATACTTAAGTCATTCCACTTATAGATCAAACTAGAGGGCTCAAAGAGAAAATTTAAGAAAATACTTGAGTCAACAATTAAATTTTGATTGGCAGATGGAAAAAATAAAAAATGAACAAGTTCATAACTTGTTATGTTTTTATCCATTATTAGTAATTATTTAAGAAAGTTGTAATACTAATTTATCACTTTAAAAAGACTCACTAGTGAGGTGAAAAAGAAGTAGCAAAATTCTGTTTTTGAAATTTCAAATAAAAATTTCTTTAATCAAAAATGTGATTAAAAAAATCCGCAAAAATTCACTTCTATTTTTGATGGTAGGAAACTGGATAATTTTTCAAGAAAGAAATTACAATTATATCATCCGTAACAATTAAATTAAATTAAAAAATTATAATCATATTTGAAAAAAAAATTATATTAAAAGCATTTTGTAAGTTGTGTAGAGTGGAATAGCTACTTAATTACGCTAGTGAAAAACATTCCAAACTCTTAAGGCGTTTTCCTTGTCCTATTACTTCAAAGCGTATCAATCCTTCAAAATCAATAAAAGGATACTCATAAAAGGACACTGAACTAGCTGCATTACTAAAATTGCGACTTTTTTTTTTGTGATGGACGATGCCACAATTCATAAAAATGAATCAATTAAGCATTTTTTTTTTGGATTAATTCCAGATATATACAATCCTTCTAATATGAATGGGATTGAGCATTTATTTACATGAATTAAAAGGCTAGTAGTAAATGAGTAACCAGCTCTTTTTGATGCATTTCAATAAACAGTTAATGAAGCTTTCGATTGATTAATGAGTAAATGATTAATTCATAGAACCGTAGCATTCTGAAAAATATGCGAAATGAATCAATAGAAAAATTATTTATTACTTTTATTTTAATAAAAACTATATAAATATAAAGCAAAGGCTATCCAATATTACTCAAATTTAAGACAAGAGATTTTCTTTAATGTATCTAAGAAGATTAATTGTAAA